TACAACAAATATTTTCTTGTATAATAAATACGAATATACAGTTTTAGATTAATAACATTTAACTTTTATTTTAAATGACTATTCGCAATATTGAGTCTGCAATGCTTTTGTGATTAATCGTTCCAATCTCGAAACGTGTCAAATCCTATGAGTGATAGCAGGGTCATAATTGCCATCTCGTGTTAGATTTATTGAAACAAATATATATAATAAGGATAAATCTAATCGTTTCATCTGCTTTGTCAATACAAGCCAATACTAGCTTTTGCATTGCTTTTATCGAACTAGATGTAATACCTGTCTGACGTTCGCATATACGAAATTCAACATGATATAACTTCATCATTTCTACCTGTAAATTAAATTGCCCCATAAATATTTTGACCAAAATCAAAATGCATAGTATTATGACAAAGTAGCGCAATGCTCGAAAATAACATTTGCGGTTACACGCGGAACTTTAGACACCAAATACCACAACCATAACATTTCATGATGTTCGAGTAGCGTGAAACAGAAACTGAAAAGCCAGACAGGATATACCTGACCTAACCCTTTAGCGAGAGATAACCAAGTACTGGTTGTGGTCAGTCACCCATGGAGGTTACACGAATCTAATGTTACTCATTGTATCCTTCACCAATCTGTTTCCGGAATATATTCTCTTTATTGAATAGATACACAATATAAAACAGTGAAACAGATCAACGATTAAGAAGACATTCAATTTTATTGACTTTGTAATAAAAAATATTTAATTAAATGTCTATATTTTATAGAATTTACAATATTTATACCCGTGTGAAGCTGGCCCCCCAATATTAAAAAATCGATTTTTTTTCTTCATGCATTCGTTTGCTCACGAATGCTTAGTTGGAATTTTCGTTTGCTCACTCTTAGTTCAAAAGACATACGAAAATTATGTTTTGAGGGGCCAACTTTACACTAGACCCCAATATTAAAAAATCGATTTTTTAATATCTGTATTCTTTGATAATAATTAATGGTTAACTAAATATTAATACTATTATTTAAACATACATTGTTTCTTGTCTTTTATCTTAAATCGCAGTCTTTCTAATCAAACACTACATTAATGTCACCTGTACCCAATTATTGCAGTTTTAATTGTTTTAAATTCTATTTTCTTTTATCTTTTCGTATTCTCTTTTTTAATCCTCTATAGAGACGACGTTTTATCATTAAAGAGACAATATTTTTATTATTTTGACTCAAAAATCTAAATAAACTGTAGATAAAGAATCTATTGATATATTATATGTATTATATTATAACGTATTATACTATCGATTTATAATTATACCGATGTATGCCTTTCTGGTAGAAGTATTATATTTCAGTATTCACTGCAGCGTACATTTCCATTTTCAGTCATTAAGTGTAACTAATTTGCATAGATCACGAATTTACCTCGAATTTAATTTTAAAATGGACGTTGCAAATATTCAACTCTCTAAACAATTAATGACTGATTTTCCATACTTTTTCTGTGTCTTATTTCATTTTTTCTTCTTTTCTTTCTTAGCTCTTTCTTTCCTTAGTTTCCTTAGAACATTATCTTTCACGGTATCTAATACATGTTTTTATATTTTATTAGACATTTATTAAAATATCTAAATAAATTTAAATATATATATATTTATAAATAATGAAAGAGTGATTGTTTCTAAAAATATTATGTTACATGTTAAATTAACACATTGAATGCTATAACAGATATGTAATTGATGGAAAACAGCAAAGAAAAATAGTTTAAAAAGTTTTCGCGTGTTTATACAGGAACCAACATGTTTTCGCCCGTTCGTTCACTTTTTCAAACATGTCTTCAAGTATTGTACGAATATATACTGACACACCGCAAGATACTTCTTTCAATTGATATACCGATGGTCCACTGCACGTAAAAGGGTGAGAGAAACGCTGACCTACATACATCATACAGACTGCTACACTCTACACAGCAATAGAATCGACCTCGCCGCTTGTTTCTGTCGAAATTTCGACGACGTAAACTTTCCACATCGGGTATACCTTTCGTCCGAAACTCTCATGCAGTCTCAAGAATTCGTTCGAACCAAACTTTCCTCCCAAATCACTACCGGACGAGACTACAATCGTTTTCGGTTTTGGCAAAAAAAAAAAACAGAATTTTTTTCAATACGGCTTCACTTTTAATCTTGTTGGCGTAAAGCATATTTACGAAACGATCAAAAGTAATGCTTAAATGTAGGCGAAAAATATACGCAAACCCAGTAAAATAATCATTATTGAGGTATCACTGAAGTATGTACTCAACTCGAGAATCTGAAGTCCGTAAAATGGTTCCTACACAACTAAAATATTCCAATGCACATTTAACCAAGGAAGGATTGCATCGAGATCGTATTGAATCGTCGTTTTGTTCTTCTGTGTTTCTCGTGATGATCTCTTTAATGACGTACTCTGAAATAAATTCAACTTTCATACAGATTACAAAAGAAGAAAAGCAAATTCATAATAATTGGTCTACCGAGAAATTTCACATCAATCTAAAGTTTGAAGCCGATTGAAGTACCTCAAGTGGTTTAATGCTTCTGGACGAAGCGATCTCTTCCGAATGCCTGGAAACATTGAAGCACTAGATTGTAGCCGAGAGCTGGCAATCATACTGCGGCGAAGTTTCGCCACTTGAAATTTCTGAGCATCTTGTCCAGCTTGCCAGTGCTTGCAAAAAGTCTGCAAATTAATATTATTATGTAAACAAAATACTGTAACGGGAATTAGCATATTTATGTCGACGTAAACATGACTTTACAATTTCTCTTGCTATTTATCTTGTTTAAAGTAGAAAGTTTAAAATAGAAATACATTATATATGTATATATATTATATATATAGGTATATTTCTCACACGAATCTTATGTATTATGTTAATTGTTATAATAGGCAAACAATAGGGTCAACATTTTTATTTGCATATATAAAAGTACTTTAAAAACTTAATCTTATTACTGCGAAATATGTAATGTGTCATCCTTATTTTAACATAATTGTTAATTACATATATTTTTGTATTCTTTAAAATATTGTTTTAATTGATTACTTGTTTATTCGTATGCCATAGTATTGCAGCAGAAATTGAAAATTAAAAGGTGCTAATTTATTTGTGATAAAATCGCAAATACGAATTAATTAAGAAAGATATATTTATATCACATAACAAAATTAAGAAAAAGAGAGCAATTTAATTTAATTTAATTATGAATCTTAATTTAGTTAAATTAAGATTTAAAATTATTCACCTACATATTTACGAGATAAAAATGTATAAATTCATTACACGTAATCTGATATTGCGCATTTATATGCTTCACACAAGACATTTGATAGAAACACCGTGATTGGCCACGAGGTTTATACCTAATGTTTTATGCATTCTCTTTCTACAATGATCTTAAAGCATCAACAGAGGAAGGAAGCAAGCAACTCGTCTGAGGAGAATGCGGGCAGGTCTGCCGTATTCCCCCGGAGGTTGAGATCGTATTTCCGGCTCTCACAATTTTACTATTTATGCAATATTGTACTTGGTCCCATCGGATCACAAGATAGGTCGTAGCATTTGAGCAGGGACGAAGTTACTAAGTACCGCTAAAACCAGTTCTCCACTTCGTAAACTCTCTCGTTTGTTAAACAGTAACGATTGTAATTGCGAGAAATACGAAAATTGTTTGCGGGAAATATAAGTGTTTTTTTTTTTTACTTGCATTCCGTGTATTTAAATTTGTAAAATGATGCATTTTATGAAAATAATATTATTTTAATATTCATATTTCCAAGAGAGACAGACTGGTCTATTATTTCTTTTTACTTATATATTCTTTGCTTTCGTGGAAAAAGTATTATAACAGTTTTGCGCACTGAGGATTTAACAATTAAAGTTCTCTAATGAAATTTGTTTATATTAAAATATCAGTGAAGGTGGAGTAGAATAATATACATCCTGTTATCTAAAAGAGATTGTCTGTTTCTCGTTTGACGTCATATTAAAAACAAGATGCAGCAAGATGTGTCTCATCCGTTGCAGATTATAATTAAATTTCATGACGTATTTACATAGCACATAGTTGCATTTTTTTAATACTGTAACTCTACTATTTTAATGTTTAATTAAAGTAAGTTTTATGATCAAATTACTGTATATACAATATAATTGATATAACAATATATTTTACTTTAACATTTTTAACAGTCATATAAATAAACATGTTTTTTCCACATTTCGCGTGGTTTAATGTAATGGTCGTTCATCTTTTTCACTTTATTTACACAAAGTGCCGATGCATCGAATAGGATTATTTTAATATGACATATCTCCGTGCCAAATCTCTTTTCTGTGTCACGCAATATATAGATTGTTATTATATATATTTACATAAGAGCAATATTTTGTACCATTGCCATTTTATAATATTATAACTTTTTTTATCTGTAGAAATAATTATTTTGCATGTTTGTCAAGAGCCATTAAAAAAGCTTGACGCATTATTTTTAGATGCAATCCGATTGGTTATGTTAATCCAATTTATATGAACGCAAATATATGTATGTGCTGATATAGCTCCACGGTTTTTAGCAATATTTATTTTAATTAAAATCCAATATATGTCTCTTATATGTGTACCGTTATAAATATGTCTGGCAAATTAAATAGCTTTTTGGCTATTTAATTTGCTAAATTGAAATATATTTTTATATTAAAAATGCGAAAGTTTTCTTCATATTTTATAACATTATGATATTTCTCATATTTTTCACCATATTTTATCTGTTTTTGACTTCTTATTATAAAGCTAATTAATAAATAAAAAATATTGATGAAACTAATAGATAAATAGAAAAACTTTGAGAACTAAGAACTGATAAATAAGTAATTAATAAATAGAGTTATTTAAATATTGATTTACATTATTTCTGATTGTCAATTAATATCTATGTTTCAGATATCGTGGATTCGGCGACGTGACTTTCACGTTTTAACAAGCTCTATGTTCACATATACGAACGACGAGCGATTTCAAGTACTGCATCCCGAGGGCTCGGACGATTGGACCCTTCAAATAAAATACGTCCAAGAAAGAGACAATGGGACGTACGAGTGTCAGGTAATGTAACCCCCACGAACAACCCTACGGGTTAATTGATTCAATGTACTTTAACAAGTGTTTCTCAACTTTTATTGCGCGATGTATCATTCTCAGTTGCTCGTTTTATTACTTTATTGTCCACTGTTTCTCTTGTCTTTTTCCTTTAAAAAGTGAAACGACGATTCGCTCGATTGACATTTACGCTGATTACACACCATTTTTTGCGGTTTATTATTACTAATATTCTCTGTTGAACTCGATCGAGATGCGTCTCTCTAAAATAATTTCCAAATTACTATCTTCGAATGTATACATTTCTATCTTCAGATCCAATATATATTTCAATAATTACATGCTACATGAAAGTATATGAGCGTATATCACCGAGTGATATACAGATGCTACTGTATATATATCGGAGTAATAAATCCTTCTATTAATAATTCCAAACATCACTAATTATGCGTACCGCAATGTATGCGTCATCAATTTGACATTAAGTCGATGTATATTCGATATCTAAAGTTATAAAACATTTATCACTACGCAACATTATCCTGTTTTATAACTTTTTGTTAATATAACTATATATTTACAATATAGGTAAATTATTTTTAAAAAAGTGAAAACAGAGATAATGTTTGTGAATTATAAAATTTTGCTCACATACGAAACATAAAGTACCCGGTCTAAATTGAAAATGTATTGAATCAGAAGGACATTTCATGAGGATACTATAAAAATCACTTTAATGTGCTAGAAAATAATTTCGATGTTCAGTCAATGGCTCCTTAATGAAAGAACTAATCCGAAATTAGAAAACTTTTCGCATCGCTAGGAAATATAATTAAATACGATCCCGCGCGCCGGGAACGCAACACGTAAATCCGTATGACGTGAGCAATACGGATAAACCGTTCTTGCTGCATATTCATACATTTTTCCGGCTAATGGAACGGCAAACACAAGCTCACGGCAAGTACATGCGAGCGCGAAAGAAATCGGACAGCGTGAATAACGAGACATGATGCTCTCTTGCGTTCGCTGTCGAGTAAACTCTGAAAACCTGCAGCAGTCTCTGACCTTTCTAAAGTTTCTTCGGGTGAAGGCTCAAGTTTGGGATAGCAAAGACGGCCTCTTATGTTAATTTCGGGGTGCGAATATAGTATAGCCGCGAAACTTTTTGCAAAGAACTTAGAAAACCTCCGTTTCCGCATTGCTCGTTTTCCCTATCTTGCTTCGAAGTTCGAGAGACACCTCATTGTCGTAACTAGCGATCTTTAGGATACTTTAATTATCGGCAAGTAAGTAAAAGATAGGACATTATCCTTTGAGCTCTGTATATTTTTTGCTAAACTGTCAAAAAAAAGTTTCAAAACCAGTCATCGAATTCTCAATCATACAAAGATCGTAAAGTTGAAATTCGTTTAAGAATTTAAACAGAACAAAATACACAGAATAAAATATCTATAATAATAGATTCAGACATTGTGTTTAATACATCGGAAGGAATGAAATGATACATAAAATGATTAACTGCAAAATCCATTTATTATAAAATAACGAATACGTTATAATTAAATGATATACAATAATGAAAATTAATAAGTATTCAGTGTACAACGTAATATTAAAAGCCGATTACATCATTGAAATTTAGATTGTACTTTTAGACAATAATATAATTACGACGGAGCTAATGGATATTATATTATACAATAGATTGGTGCTAGTTACACTTATTAATAATTCGTCCATAATGAATTAATCAAAATACAAAATACTTTACGTCATTGTACAAGAACGTTTATTTTTATTCATTGAAAGTACTTTATGAATTACTTTAAGGCTTTTTCATTTTGCGGCCATACGTTCATATTCAGAAATAACTCGTGCAATTAATGAACTATTATTAAACTAAAATCTATTTAAAATTCTAACGAATTATTTGAATGGTATATATATCACTTATTAACCGGATCGGCAAAAAATTAATCTTGAAAATAAACGAATGACGTGACGTTTCATCTATTTGACCATAGAAAGAGAGAAGAGGCGAATGCGGTTGTATGACCGCAATGCATCTCCTGACATCTCATTATGCAACGAGGTCATTGAGCGTGGAAATCACTGTGCCACAAGTTCGATAATACGTAGGTGTCTTCCGACTACGCGTATATTATGACGCTCGAGATTATATCGCCCACGCCAATGTCCACGATGGTCCGTCATTGTGGTTTCTAATTAAAAGTCATGGGGGAATGAACGTTCAAAGCGATCGCTTGTCTCACAATGACGAACCGCATAGTCGGATAACGGATTGCCCGTTAATCTTAGCGTGTACAATGTTCCATGTATCAGTTATACCATACACTGAATTACAGTCCTCATTTCTCGAAACCGCGTAATCGGATGTTTATTCAAAATAAAAGTAATTATTTGAACCAATTGAATATTAATTATTGATAAATTTGCATCATGTATAGATTATATTGCCACAATTTTCAATATCTTTACGCGAATAAAGATATTGAATTATCGGAATTTATATTTTGCACGAATAAAATTAAGTCGTGTGTGTAATAAGGAGAATGCAAATGTACCGGATTAAGATAATTACTTTCTGAAGTTCTTGCTTGAATATGAAGTTTATCGCGACTACAGAACTTTGATAATTTAGCTGCTAACAATCATATCCTTGATGGAACATATACTTTTGGAAGAGATCCTTAATTCATTGGACATTGAATTGAATTTTGCCGTTTTTTTTTCTGTTCTTTCGTTTGTAAATTACGTTCTCTTTTCATATATCTTGTCCTCGAATAATATTTAAAAGGTAGGATAAATTAAGATATTTCTGCGCTGCGCGTAACAGAAAGCATCAAAGATAGGAAAGTTTCTCGCGAGTTCTATCTTCGTTATTGCCCTAGCAAACATTTTAGCGTGAAAAAGCAGCAGCTATCGCGAACGACAGATATAGTGCGGTGACCATTGCGAACGTCGTGGCGATTAAGTGTAATTGAAGATGGAGCGATGGAAAGCTTTGGGAGTAATTGAGACCTCACTACAGCAATGTCTGTGGATTAAAAATGTGAAAACAAATAATATGTTTCATTGTTTTATTCGATTATATAGAATTAAGAGCTTCTATCTTTTTCGTTAAATATGAAGTTATTCATAAAAAAAATATTAATTATCGTTTTATCTAATTTGACAAATTTAACAGATGAAAATATAATTAAAATTTTATTACACATTGTATTACGTGCGCACACAATATGCATAATTATGCACAAAAAGTACATTTTATGTATAAAGATTTTAATTTATATTTATTTTATTTATGTTTGCTTATTTTTATCTGTAATTTATGCCACTATAACATTCCTCCGTAATGAATTTTATATAATATTTAAAAAGTAATAAAATTATTTGAAAATTGCTACGCTCGTAAATTCGAATGCTTCTCTACAACTTTCGTCATTTTTATTTCATCGAAAGGTACAGAGTTATCTGGAAGATGCACTGAAATATTTTAACTTCAATCTTGCAATACTTTTGCGTTTAATAATTGAATATAACGTAGAGCCGTTTAATTATCACCAGAGGGAAGTGTTAAAAAATACGAGACAACTGTGCAATGGCTCCAGGCGTCTCCATCGCAATTACATGGACCATGCTAGCCAGAAGTAGCGGCGGTATTAAATGCCGGGTTTAATTACACGTCCAGCTCTACGACGGTTACAAAAAGAAATTAATTAAGGCAAACCTTGAGTTGTTACGTAGTACGTAAGTCAAGGTACTTAACTTTTTACGCGTCTTCGAAGGAGTAATGGAAAGCTCGTTTCGCGCTTATCGCAAGCTCCGTCGTAGCCGCAGCTGGCTGCGGCTGGGATTGGTTGTACTCCTACAGCTACACGGAAAGTGGGTCGCCTGTGAGACACACAGCACGAGAAGTCCCTTCGGCGCTGAAGATAAGTACTTTCTCACCTTGGCTCATGTCGAAGCAAACGCAGTCGCGATCGTAGGGCTCGTTAAGCTTTTGGACGAAGTTTATGCCCGCGCTGTGCGAAACGCTGGGCTAAACCGAGATTCTGATGGAGGTCAAATTTGACAGTTAATCTCGAGCGAAGCCCAGGGATTTAAGTATGTCCGACAATACGTGCCGTGCGATATCTTATTTTATTCGGCATTAAAATACGAGCGCTCGCGCGATATTTCATTAATTCTCGAAACTACATCCATCGTGTTAATTAAAGTACATAATAATTTAGATATCTCATATATTCTTTCCATGAATGTTAGACTTCTCTTAACTTTACTTATCGTTTATACGAGTCACTTTAGAATATATTATTATTAAAATATTAAAGAATAATGTAATCAAATCGAAATAATATTGTTATACTGTGCTATATGAAACATTAATTTATTTTAATAATATAATCTAAAGATCTAAATAAAACAAATACTGTATAATTTATCTTTTTTTTTTTAAAGATAATTATAGTAATTGTCTATAATTTAGTTAATTTATTAGTACATTTACTTAATGTACTATTTCAAAGTCGAATCAGGTCGTTCAATATCGGGCTATCTACGCATCCTTAATTTTATGCCATTTCAACGTGCGCTAATGCAAAACCATAATCGCGACTTTTCTTATAGTAGTGAATAAATCTCTTAGGGATGAGGACTGCGAAAGTAGCTCAGCAAGATCGTTAAGCTTTCAAAAAGGCTCATTATTAAGCTTTCAATGCAACAATTTGTCATAGTTCGTTCGACGAGACTTATATCCGATACTTATCTGTAAAAACTTATTCATTAGTTTTATTTTTCTGGTCTTACGACATGAGTCCAGCATAATACGAGTATTTCTTGCGTTAACTGAAAATTAACGCTTCAACTAACGTGCCGAGTTTAATTGAGCTCGAACCACTGTTGCATATTTTCGCAGCCGGAACTTTCGGCGCTTATACGGACAGTACACGTGTGGGCACCGCTACGTGCTAGAAATT